GCTCATAGCGTACCAGTGTTTTTATCTACCAAAAAGGGTTGTTGTCAAATCAAAAACTCTGAGTTACACCTACCGTTCATCGGCAGCGACACACAAAGTAAGCACTTTACAGAATAAAGTGATATATAGAGATATTCTATAGTAGATTGGTCGTTCCTGCACAAGCTTTATGGTTTCTTTCCAGCGTCCCGCTCCCATCATTGATCTTGGACCAGGCGGACCTGTTCGCTGTCAGCGTTGTAAAGCGTATATGTGCCCTTTCATGGAATTCCAAGATGGTGGTCGTCGTTTCCGCTGTCCATTTTGTCATGCCTCTACTCCAGGTTGGTTTTTACTGTTGTTTGTTTCATATAATTTTCTTCCTATTTACATGTCGTTTACCATGAAAACCCAGCCCGTTTTGTACGGCATGTGGCACGAGAAAGGGGAGTCTTTTGGGTTTTCTATGATCTAGCTGTGTACTCTGACGCTGTCAACTCCTGTTTGAGCACCGATGTTTCTTCAGAGCTAGCATTCTTGCTCCCTGGAATTATAATCCTACAAACTCCTTTTTATGTTCGTGTTTGTGAGAGATACTGAGCTATCGCTGGAATTGAAAACAACCTTCTTAACCCTGATCTAGGGGAGACGGTAAAGAGGATCGTAATTCGCCGCACCGCCACGCGCGGCGATGGGCGCGGCGTTTTCATAACTCGTTTTAACCTGTCGAATGAGCACCGGACTTCATGTAGACCCCGTCATCGTAGACACTCATTACTGTTTTCGGTCCTTAATTGCATGTTGTCGCCATCTACTGCCTGAAACCATCGTCCTTTGCGGGCGGGACGTCGCACGCGACGCCCAGCAGCGCGGCAAATTACGATCCTCTTGTCACATACCCCTGATCTAGAGCTCTGATCCATGCTGTTATGGTCCCCCGCTGAACTCCCACTATCTGGTATATGACAAGACAGTTGTAATATGCAACGCTGGTGCTGGTGAGTGTGGCGGACAGACGAGTGGTCTTGCCTGATCGTTCGAGTAAACGTGTCAAGGGAAAAGAAATCTCGATATCAGCCGTCTCGGGGTCCTGTCTTTGCTGCTTGAATAGATAAATTGATGCACATTGAGAATTTCCGCGCAAGCCGAACGGAGCTCCCCTGGGTCCATTCCCTGTACTACCTCCTTGACTTTGATGGAATATAGCACGCTACTAGAAATAGATGTCGGTGGTTAATTTCCTAACTGCAACTGATCTCTAAAAGTCTCACTCGCTCACTAAGTTTTTTCTGGTGGTTCGTTTGTCCAAGTGATAAAATTCTAACGCATCGAATCCTCTTCGTGTTCAGTGGAGGACGTCTATTTCGCTCACCTTGACCACACTGGTCGTCGAACCGACATCGATCATCGCCCAGAGTTGTTCTTAGGAGCTTACGAATTCATTGCTACCAAACAGTATTTGTAAGGTAAGCACTTTTCACTATTTTTCCATTTTTTGTTTCTTTTAAGTTTTGAATTTCCCAATTTTCCAACAACGGTAGCTATAGTCGTGCATAATGGCTAGTATAGGCGTATGGCACGGTTACTCGTTAGGTTACTGATTGCGATAGCTCGTTAATCTCTCAGGCGCTGATTTGTCGTTTTCGAACGGCTACCTACCCTCCCGAGCCAAGCACATTTCATGATTGATGTTTCATATAATGCAATACAAAATGGGATGCTACATGTGATCTGTTCAAATCTTGAAAGGATTTTGCAACGCTTGCCTAAGTAAGTCATGACTTCTTTTTACATAACAACATTTGTTTCCTTTATTTCTTTTGTCTTATCCTCCGAAAGTTTTTTCAGAGAACTAGGTGCTTCTGAATCAGTTATACATGTGGGACTCGCTACCTTCGATCAAGTGGTGCATTTCTTTGATTTATCAGCTGCACAGCCTTCGATGATGGTTGTAGGTTTGTGTCGAAGCCAGCCTGCTCCCTCTAGAAAGGCATACCCAGTATTTAGGAGATGTTGACGACATGTTCGTTCCAATTGTCGATGGCCTTCTTATGCCATATACACAAGCAGCGCCTTCGATTCGAGCAGTTCTTGCTGAAATTCCTCGTTTGTTTGCGCCATCTAGAATAACGGAGACAATATTAGGGCCTGTCGTGCAGGCTGGATTGGATGCACTTAGCGTTAGTATGTGAGGGCTATCACGCCCAGACTCTAATAACCTCTGCTAAAAGCACTCAAATTGATGCTCTTCCTTCTGTATTGTTTCGTTCCTCACGGGCATCGAGGTTTGGCAATTCATACTTCGAGTCAGCGGCAGCGTTTCTAGCGTAGATGACGCGTCGCAATATAGGAAATATAGCCTCCACGGAACGCCGTCAGTACGCTCTGCGGAGGATGTTTGCCCTGCTGGGTGTGCCGTATTCCCGCTGAGAAGTGAAGAAGTGCGGAATCTGCAGAAATGCCGAAAGTGTGGAAAATCGATACGTATCGGTTGCTTTTCTGCACATTCCGCACTGTCGGCATTTCTGCAGATTCCGCACTTCTTCACTTTCGGCATTTCTGCATTTCTTCAAATCGATACGTATGTAATGCTTTTCGTCATCTTCTTGCACTGTTTCGACATTTCTGCATCTTCTTCAGTCAGATTAAGTAGGTGTATTTGCTTTTCTGCAAGATTGCCGCACTTTCTGCGCTTTCGCATTTCTGCGTTATTCTTCCACGACGCAAGCTATGACGTGGCGAAACGCCAGCGTCTTTCTGCGCATTTGATCTTGAGCGAAATTGCCCGCGAAAACGCTGCTCGAAATAAGCTGAAGCTAAGTGTGCACGCAGTCTGAAGGGGGTTCGTATAATGCACACAGCACCTTTCTGGCGTGAGTTTCCTTCATGCGACGAATTTGGTTGTGTTTGCGTTGTCTTATCATATCGGGGCCAAGCGCAGTGGTGTGAAAATGAACCTCGAATGGGAAGTCCGTAGGTACATCGATAGTCAGATAGCCTCGAATCTCGATATTATATGCATGATAAGAAGATGCACTATAGAGACCTTGGCCCAGACGAGAGTCTGGCGCAAAGTAAGGTCAAAGATGTGCAAAAAGTCGAGTTTGCTCGTGCTAAAGCGCTGCTGACGATGCGTTCCAGCAGGCCTACCCGTGGCCTCTTGTGTATTTACGGTCTCTCTTTTCAAGTTCAGGACGCGCGCCGTGCGGCGATGTCCGTGGGTTGGCCGCCGCAGTTTGAGATTTGTTGCCCCCTCCCCCGCTGCTGGGGTGGCGGGTTGATGAGAGGTGATGCTTCAACTCTAGATGTTCGAGGAATTCTTCAGAGTTGCGGTTGGTCCTAGCAGGGCATAGGGGTGATAATTCATCAGTAGTATACGTACTACGATTATCAGACGGAAGTGTCAATATTTGCCCTCCCATGAAACATGACTTACCCATCCCAACTCGAAGTTTTGCGCCGTAGAGACAACCGTCAGTGGAAAAGTTTTCGCCCCTGGACACGAATATCACATCCATTCGAACTCTCGCAAAAAACGCTCTTCTGGGCCCAAATTCTGATTTCTGAGCGCAAAACTTTATCGAATTGTCGGGAGGGAAGACAGTTAATGATGGTCCAGAAACAGCTATCCCACAATCTGATCTAGGATATGCCCAAATCCATACTAGATCGAGTACGTCATATACTTGATCTACTTGCCCTGCTGGGCCGTAAACTCGGAAGAATTTCGAAAATTAGAGTTGAAGCTCTTATAGGGAGCGAAGCAAAAATTTTCGCGCCAACCGGATGCAAACCCGCGTGCGTTTGACTTGAAAGCGAGACCGTTAGGTCTCCTTTCGAAGTTCCATGGGAGGTTCAAACCATTCCCTTGTTAGCTGTTTTTCTCCATGCACAAATGATCTCAACCAGGCAGTTCGGTAACCACTCCAACTGTGTGACTAGTGGTAGCTGTTGTGCTGAGTTTCTGACTTGTTGAGAAAGAAATTTCAGTGTGCCGATCGTGCTGGTAAATTGATGATCTTCTCTACTTCATTGCCTACTGTGGAAGCTCCAGGGAAGTTGAAGGCAAGAAATGAAAGGAATTTGCTGGGCACTGATAAAGAAAAGGTATTTGGTCTTGCTATATGTCATTCGCTGTGTCTGTTCTTCCCAAGTAAAATAAGTGGTTCTGCAGTAGCTGTAGGTCGATTTTATGTCATTCCTATGTTTCGACGTTGAAAACATGGAACCCTCATTTGATCAGACCCACAAACTGTAAAGCCCCGTCTTCTTGGCTTGGTATGATAACAGAATCTGAAGCGAAACTATCAGCAGGGCGTGGAGAGAAAAATAAACCGCAAACGATTAGATATCAAGAAAGTGTCAAAATTCCAAGAAATAGAAAAGTGGGAGTGTACAGCGTCAGAGGTGTTGTAGACGGGAAACGTAAGTATTAGTCATCGGAGGCAGAAATGGAACCAAAGAAAAAGGGAGACGAAGAAGCGAGAATGAGCGAGAAACAGGAACACGAAAGAAGGAGTACTTCTGGCACTATGTCAATAATTTCATTGTTGTGATAGAGCTATGTAGATTTCTTGGAGACTAGTAGATATCTGGGGCAGTTCACGGAGAGGAAGAAGAACGAGAGGCACATTGCACTTCTGCTACTTCCCATCGATATGCCTACCCATCTAAATAGCTGTTTATGAGCTTACAAAGCTGAGATGGTTCTATCATGGTTGCTAGACGAGCTTGCTCCAGATTCACAAGAGTACACAGGTTTAAGAGTAAGATTTTAAACCGGAACTAGTGAAGCAGCGAAAGTGCAAAATGCCCCTACCCCCTTCCGCCGAACTGCGCCCACATCTCTCTATGTGTACTCTTTCCTTCTCCAAAGCTCGCATGTCTGTATCGAGTGGAATTATGGAATGGTACTGGAGAGTTCTAGATCGTGGAAGAAAACGGCACCATGTTCCATGGATATGCAAATGGCTCATAAATTTAACGTTTATTTTGTGC